GGGTTTGAAGGAGAGGACTTCCTGATCTCTGTGAAAAATGCTTCCAAATCAAAACTTGCATAGTGGAGAAAACTGTTTACCTTGTGCATCTAGAGTTGGGACTCATGATTCCCAGCAGATGCTGTATTGAGTATGGAGGGTTATTTGGGGGAGGGATAACTCAGTGGTTTGAGCATTGGCCTGCTAAACCCAGGGTTGTGAGTTCAATCCTTCAGGGGGCCATTTAGGGATCGGGGGCAAAAACCTGTCTGGGGATTGGTCCTGCTTTGAGCAGGGGGTTGGACTAGATGACCTGAGGTCCCTTCCAACCCTGATATTCTATGATTCGAGAGCATTCAGTTGAGAGAAGTGAAACACTAAATATCCAGACTCTGTCCCCTTCGTTAGCGTGGCATGGAACAATAAAAATTTCATAACAAATCTGTGTGGCTAACTCCCTTATTTTCATTGGATGGTATTTTCTTTGCTTGCAGTAATATTTTAAACAGTTTAATGGTTATTGTGATGGAAGTGAGTTACTCAGTAATTTACAAATGCAGTATGGTGACCTGATTATTGGGATGTTTACTATGTGAATGTATTTGTAATAGGGGACTATAAGGGAAAACAAGTGGAAGGGGAGGAATGGCTCAAGATGGAAGCTGCTTCTCAGCAAACACTTAAGAGACAATACCAGGATAGGGAAAGACCTGGAAACCAGAAGATCAAAAGAACTGAGACAGAATTTAAAGAAAGGACTCTGTCAGGAGACAGGTTTTTGTGGGGGTATCTGAAGAAGATCACCACGTGCCCAGGTCAGCATCAGGAGATGGGAAGCCTTTGGGTAAGATAAACATGAGAGTAGACTGATTTAAAATTCTTTTTTCTCTAAATGATTTGTTCCTACTGATAAAATAAACAATCTTTTGGTTTTAAAAGGCTGTTTGGTCACTAAACACCAATGGTCATAAACTCCAGAAGGGAAGAACCATGGGTGCCAAACTCACTCAGACCTGTCTGGTAAGCATGGTTGATACGCAGGATCCTGTAGCCCAGGGCCCAGTGTAGGGGTAGGTGAATCTCAGAGCAGAGAAGGAGCACCAGGTGGAGTTGTGATATATCTGCAGCACCTCCAGAGGAAGGGGTAATAGCTTCTTCTAACACATTGGGTTACGTGAGCTAGACAAGAATAGGACAGTGGGAAAAGGTGCTGCTTTTTCCTTTAAAGGATTCTCAGCTCTATAGACACAGATTGATTGCAGAGTTGTAATTGTTAGGGACACATGAATACTGAATTGGAAGGCTGGCTTCTTCAAAAGAGCCACTCTTTTCCTCTGCAGAAATGGCTAAGCACTGTGAGGAGAAAAGGCTTAATCCTACAGCGGTTCATTGGGATCTCTTCTTTAGCATGATGAATTTCAGTGAACATCAGTTCTGAGTTCACCTATTAGTAAGGCTGAATGTTTGTTGGAGCTGCACCTTGCATGACACAACTGTGACTTTTACACACATGGCTCTGTATGTACCCAGGGTAGTGAATTCTGGGGTTTGTAATGGTTTTAAACTAATAGATGTACATTAGTTCATAACAGCTTTTAATGTAAAACAGAATATTTGACTTATAATTTCCCAGTATTCATCAAATATTTGTGTTTTGGCTGTACACAGGCCAGCTTAACATGCAAAGAGCAATGAATTTGCTAGACAAAGTGATACTAAAGCAGAGGAACATGTGGAAATGAGAAATTGGGAAATGGCTTAGTAAACATTTTTACTTTGAACAAGTGCCCTGAAATTGCCACATGTGGTGTTTTGGGGGTACTTTATACATGGTAATTCCGAAGCCTGCTTCAACTTGATTCACTGAATTAAACCTTAAAATAGTTTTTGCCAGCCAAATAAATGTGTAGGACATATGTCCAATCTGCAACGTGATTAAAAACATTTTTCAAGAGCAGCAGTAAAAGGGTTAACATTTATATAGAGGTGGCACTTGATAGGGAAATCTCAAATTATTCCATAAAGTATTCAAATGAAGGGACTGATTTGTAAATCCACCCAAATGAGTGTGTTGTGAATTGAGACAGAGGTAAAGCAGAATACGGCTAGAGATCTTAACGTAAACTGGGCAGCAGGGAAATGGGGTAGGTCATGCTCTGAAATTAAAGCTTGCTCAATATATGTAAAACCATAGATAAATCTTGTTCAGTGTTTCACAGTAAACTTGCAATACTTCATACAGATCTAAGCCCCAGTTATTGATTACTTACTCTAACCATTGGCGGCTGGGCTTGAAAAATCCACTTACCAGAGATAAAGGGAAACTTTGCCTGGTTGGGGTGGAAGTGCTAAGCCACGATTTCTTCAGAATCCAAGTCTTACAATTTTTTTTTCTTAAAAGGATGATTTCTCATCCTTATGTTTGGGTAGCTAGGTGGGGACTTTTGAATATGACTGTCTGTGGGGCTGTATCCTAAGGCTGCAGAGGGAACCATTGTGTTGCTGCTTAAACTTTGAACAGCAGTATAGTAAAATTACCACCTCTTGTCTGTTTCACAGTTGCTATTCCCTACCTCTGGACTGCAGTGAAACTGTCAAGAATCATGTCAGTTTCACAGTACTGCTGTTGCCAAGAAAGCTTTGAGTAGCAGTAGAGGCAAGCATATGAGCTAGTAACTGTGAATGACTCCAAAAAAGAGACTGAGAAATTAGTAGAGTAGAGAAATACTCCTACAGACCTCCTCTACAACAAGGAGGCCCTGGAATAGGAGAAATCAGTAAGTGCCTTTTTCAAATATCTGGAGAGGAGTAGAGCTTCAAGTTTTATCAGACCGTTCTTAGCCAGAGGCTGATATAACAGATGGACCTTACATAGGGACTCCAGAGACTGCATCCTGGTAGAAATCCCAGCTGGTGTTGATGGAACGCAGGTTTCTCACAGGAGACTTGGCTCTCTTGAATTATTGAACCAATCAGTAGCAGCGCAGAAGAACATGAATATATTGAAGATACATGATGGGTGGGGGGACCATGATATGAGATTTTGTTCACTTTGCCCATCAGACTTTATTAATTCTGGGACTCTGAATTAAGGTATCAGAATGGTGCTTTGGATGGTTTTCACACCCACATGCATTTGGGCTGCTGTTTTCTTATTAGAATTCAGCCCTGATATCAAGAGAGGGTGACTGTCGGGGAGAGATGCACTTAATAGCTGTGTCTCAGCCTATCCTTCCAAAACTAGGACTGCCTCTTCTGCAGGTCCAAATGGAAAACTCTTCTAGGTATTTACAGTTGGGCAACTAATATGCTTACTTAGCTAGGTTATTTTCTTGCTTTGCCAGACTTTCCTAGAAAAGACAGTACATACAAATGAGCTAAAATGGACAAGTAAAAAGGAAAGAATGGCTGCTCAATTTGGATTGCAGGTCTCTTGGAGAGCTGCACTTTGTTCTAAAACAGTAACAAAATCCCTGAGCATAGCCAACAATTCGTTTCTTCTGCACACCAGGATTCACTAAATGTGAAGAAGCACTTGGCTTCATTAGGGCTAATCTGATGGCAAGTGGGAAATGGGGGGGGGGGAAATCTTGGCATTACTGGGGCACAAGATTTTTCTGAAAGTTGCTCCCACAAAGTTTTATTGACTTCCCAAACATTTACACGTGGGGATCAATCTGAAATGCATCAGCCCAAAAGGAACAACTTCTAGTAGTTACAAAGAAGTGAAAATGCAGGTTAAGAATGCAAGGGCTTGTTAAAATTGTTACAGGTGATTGTGTTGCTTGCTTTTGCATAGCAACCAGCAAGTCTCAGCTCAGATTCTTCAGGATTTTTGCAATGTGTAAATTTCAGTTTAAACAGCAGTGTTTGGTGATTCTATGAACAAGATATTCAATGTGGGCCAAACTTTTGCAGATCTTTCATAAAACTTGCTTACTGAAATCTGTTTCGGTGCTTTATAATAAGTTATAGGAGAATGATGGTTGGTTGGGGACAAAGGGCAACAAAGATGATCATGGGCATGGAATGGCTTCCATACGAGGAGAAACTAAAAATATTAAGGCTGTTCAGGTTAGAAAAGACACAACTAAGGGGGCATATGATAGAGGTTTCTAACATCAGAATGGTGTTGAAAAAGTGAATAGAGATGTTTTGTTTACCCTTTCCCTCAATACAAAAACCACGGGTCACTCAATAAAATTAATAGGCAGTGGTTTTAATACAAACAGGAGGAGGTACTTTTCATACAATGCACAGTTACCCTGTGGAACTCATTACCAGGATATGTTGTGGTGGCCAAAAAGTATAACTGGGTTAAAAAAAGAACTAGGTAAGTTCATGGAGGATAGGTCCATCAATGGATATTAGCCAAGATGGTCAGGTACCCAACCCTATGCTTTGGGTGACCCTCTCTGACTGCCAGAAGCTGTGAGTGGAAGATGGTTGGATCTCTCCAAAATTGCCCTGTTCTGTACGCTCGCCTTGAAGCTCTGGTACTGTCAGACACAGGATACTGGGCTAGATAGATGATTTTATTGACCCAGTGTGGCAGTTTGTGTTTTTAAGTCCTTTTCATGTGAGCCTTTGCCTGAGAAACTTAATTTTTAAAAACATCAGATTATTTTGTTATCTTTAGTCTGAGTTACAGAGATCAGGATGGCTTCCAGAAAAAATACATGGGTAAAAAAGTGTGATAAGACTCTGTTTATATGCTGTACCAAGAGCTCTTCTCTGTGAGGTGAAGGATCTGGCCTGTAGCCTATCTGTATCACTTTGCAGTGTTATAGTCCAGGTCCACAGCCCTCCACCCACTTATTGAACATAGAGGGACATCTCCATTATTGAATAAGCAACACACTGGTGGAGTTATGGCCAGCAAATTGTAGAGATGGGTTTGTGTTCATTGCTAACCTAGGAATTGCTTTGCGTGTTTGCCTCATAGATCCCAAAGAAGAGAGGGAGGAGGAAGAGGTTTCCACCATTCTCACCCACGGGTCTCCTGTCAGTACAGCCAGGCCCGGACGAGGCTGGCGCAGCAGCAGGACGGCTGCTGCTGCTCGCCAACGTGACACAGAAAATTCGCGCAGCTCCAGGTCCAAGACTGGATCCCTGCAGCTCATCTGCAAGTCAGAACCAAACACAGATCAGCTTGAGTATGGTATGTAGCAATTAGGGGAGCGGGAAATATTGGGATTAACGTGTGAACAATGCCAGCAGAACAGTTTGAGGCTGATAATTTAGGTGTGGGAGACTGGTGCCAAAACACCAACAATCTGCTAGAGACCACTGGCAAAAAGCATGGGTGCCTCGCTGTCCTGAGCATATTCTCCTCAACTGCAGCACATCCTAGTGCTGAACATTGGCAGAAATGCTTCCACACGGATATGCACATTGCAGTCTGGTCTGTGTCCCTTGGGAACAGTGATTAAAAACCTAATGGTGGCTTTTCTTTTCAGAGGTCACAGAAGAGCATCAGTCTCCAACTGGAATCAGGTAGGAAGCTCTGGTTTGGGCCTTTTTCTTTTTGGCTAGCGCCATGGGAAGAGATGTGGTATCACTTGGAATGGTTCCAAAGTTAACTCTTCAATCTAATGGATCCCGAGCTTGCCATGGAAGGACCAGTTCAGTTTCCATTTTCATTCAATTTTGGGTCTTTCCTCCCTGCCATGCATTGGAAGTGACCTCTTACAATGTAGAGCAGTGGGTTTCAAACTTTTTGTCTGGCAACCCAGTTGAAGAAAATTGTTGATGCCTGTGACCCAATGGAGCTGGGGATGAGGGGCTTGGGGTGTGGGAGTGGCTCAGGACTGGGGCAGAGGGTTGGAGTGTGGGGGTGAGGGCTGTGGGGTAGGGCCAGGAATGAGGGGTTTGGGGTGTGGGAGGGGGCTTTGGGCTGGGGCAAGGGGTTGGGTTGCAGGAAGGGGTCATGGCTCTGGGCTGGGGGTGCAGGCTCTAGGATGGGGCCAGGGATGAGGGGTTTGGGGTGCAGGAAGGGGCTCCAGGTTGGGGGGGGTGGAGCTGAGGGCTGGGGAAGAGGATGGGGGCATGGGGTGGGAGGTTACCTTGGGCGGCTCCCGTTCAGCCTCGCAGTGGGGGTTCTAAGGCAGGCTTCTTACCTATACTGGCACTGCGGACCACGCTGTGCCCTGGAAGCGGCCAGCAGCAGGTCCGGCTTCTAGGCGGAGGTATGCAAGCGGCTCCACGCAGCTCTCGCCCGCAAGCACTCCTCCCCCCACCCCCCAGCTCGGTGCAGCGCGCGGAGCCCCGTGGTCCTCCCACCTAGGAGCCGCACCTGTTTCTGGCTACTTCTGGGGCGCAGCGTGGTGTCAGAACAGGTGGGGACTAGCCTGCCTTAGCCTGGCAGCACCGCCGACCGGGACTTTTAAAGGACTCGGTCGGGCCGTG